GGGAGCCGGCAACGCGGAGGGCTGAGGGCAAGGGAGCTGCAGACTCAAATACGTAGCCTGTCAACGCTCGTCAGCTTTCCGCGGAATTGCGTGATTTCCAGCTGCACTTTCAAGTGTTTATATTACCAATGTTTAAGAAGCGAGATGTTTCATTATTATAATTCACGGCTGTGACGGTCGAAGCGCTGTCAATGATGATGATGATGATTGCGAATGTGGTAATTGGGCTTTCGTGTGATTGATCGCGATAACGTCGGTGACATTTCATCTTTTACTGCACACACATCTCATTTTCATATCCCTGGAAATCGAGGTAATCAGTTGCATGATTACTAAAACTATACAAACGAGTCGCCCTTAAATTGTAATTTTAATGTGATTCTTGAATGAGACAGTGCGGTTAAATTTTGTCTTACCATTCCAGCTTTGGGCATTTTCCCAATGACTTACCGTCTCACATCAGTGGGAGGTTGATCATTTTCCTCCGCTGCCTCATTGTCTAAAATTGCCTTTAAACAGCCATCTCGGCTGTCGACTTCCTGGCCCTTGTTCAAGCCCAGGCTCAACACTGTCCCCTTCTCGGCCTATGACCGACGGCCCCCCTCTCTAAAACAAACATGTCCTCTGTCTCTGTACAGCCATCCTGACACGTTGTCCCATGTCAGGATGTGGGTTCGCACGGAGACTCGTAGACTTAAATTTCGATTTAAAGCTTTCGTGACTGCAGGGATTCATCTTCCTATTTTATTATTTTCCTTCTACGTGACTTTACCGAAAGAACCAAGAAGACTCGTAGACTTGTATAAGAGGCCCGTAGACTCACATTGAGACCAATGATGGGCTGCCTCTGTCTTGAAAATTACTATTCCCGCTGTTTCTATACAGCCCCTTGAAATGCGGCCACATTTAGATTCTGCATTAATCCAAATTGTTTCGGATTATATTACGTGTCTCATTTACCTTTTTAGAGTTATTCTTCTCCGATTCAATATTTCCCACATCTCACCTTCACATTTTGCTGGTTCCCTGAAATGTTTTTTTAATGACGGTGTCACTGTGTACATGTAACATGTAATCTAAAGCCTAGTTCACATTAGCGGGTAACAAGATCGCTATTATTCATCGTTCACATGTACCTATAAATGAGGCACGCCTTGTTATGCGGTGGCATTGGGGCAGGGGTTGTGGTGTTCTTCCCGTTGACGTCGGTTACTTGTGGTAGAGCAAAGCCAAAGTGACTTCCTGCTCAATGAACATTGAAGCATTGCTGCTCACCTCCTGTTTACAGCCCTGCAGAGCCGGTGGTAGACATTCCACAATTCTACAGTGGGGTCAAGTCTGTTCATCGGACAACCACTGTTAACTTCCTCACAAAATGGTACCACTTTTATCGACCCCGGAGGGATGATGGGCTCAGCGAAACCCCCAACCAGGATTTTAACACGCAACGTTTTGTCCGCGAGCCACTCGCCGGTTTGGTGGAGCAAACGGGCTGTTTGAATATCCAGAAAGGATAAAAAGACATTCAAGGAACAAGCGCCCGTTCAAACGGCGATTATTAAAATTCACACTCATCAACATTCTGTGCAAAACTCAGGTGAAGTTCAAATCGCGCTCGCCTCATCACTGAGTCAGCTCCTGCTGTGACAGAAGTGGGGCACCAACAATGATCCAAATGGCTGTTTGCAACAAAAAAGAGGCCCCTTTTATCCTTCTGCAGTCACCCTATGGGATTATTTTGCTTGTGAACTACGGGCCGGTGTGACATTTGAGCCAAATATAAATTCTACTTTATATATATACAGTTTGATGCTAGTTTTTTTTCCCTGGATGGTGCCTATCGTTCGTGACTCCTTGCCTAAGCTGTTGCACTTTGGACGACGCCAGGTGAGAAAACGGAGCGCCCTCGCTACATTCTGATAAGCGAAATGTCATCGAGGCGCGTGTGCCTGGCATTGTGGTGGATGGGGTTATAATGGCTTTGGCTTCCAGGACTTTAGGGAAACAGTACAAAGGGTCTCTGAAAACCCCCAAAAAGGTCACGGCAGCACGGGACGTGCCACTTGAAGCTACAGGGATAATTTAGAAGCTTGGACAAAAACCTGAAAGTAATAAAAAAATATCTAGTAAACTTTTATTACTTGACAGCTTTTCCAAATCCTTCCAGAGCACACGGCACAAAGAGTAACTTACTCTTAGTTCTTTCGGTAAAATCACGTAGGTAAAAAATGAAATTAAAATTATAAAAAAAAAAAAATCACGACGTTTTGGAGGCAACGCAAGCTTCCGTCTTCAGGTGAAACTGTCACAGCAAAAAATCTGTATCTTCCCATGTGCGGTTAGGATTAAGCTCACTGAAAGGGCTCTCGGAGGTAGCTCTATAATATCCGCTTCCGTGGGCTATTCTCTTACAAGTAGGGCTACGTTGCCCTGCAAGAGACCCGAATGGATGGTTCGCCTCGTGGCGTGCCGCCGATTGCAGCATCGGAATAAAGTTTGGAGAAAAAATTAACGAAAGTTTTTAAGAAGGATCTGGGTGCTATTGCATCATTACTATTTCCTCTTCGTCTCGCTTTTCTGCATTGATTTTTATTTACAGCAGTCAAAGTTGTTTTTCCCTTTAATAATTAAAGGAGATTAAAACAAATGTTGAGAACTTTGTGAGTTCAGTTCCATCAAAATGTCAGCAGCTTATTTATTTTTAAATTCCGTATTGACCAACGCAGTAGCGGCTGGTGGGCCACAGAAACCACCGCTAATTTGTGAATCTTAATTAATTGACGATATGCGAGGGCATGCACAGCAAGGTGCAGCAGGGTGTTTCTCCCCAGGGTCTTCCTGGGCAGCTGTTCTCTGGATCTGCCTCAGTTGCAAGTTAGCAATGATTAGGGCCCAACAAGCCCGCAAGCCCACAGTGATCTGCTGCCCCTGAAATCATGTCGCACAGCATATCGCGAAATAAGAAATCAGCGTTCACAGTGCGCCGATACATATGTAGGTACGCGCGCGCACGCACACGCGCACACAAACGCACGCGCGCGTGTCTCTGTCATATGGACGGGGCTATACAACACCGGAGCAGCCGCTGCGCATCTCCATAGCAATGACGTAATCTACATGCAAATTGCTCTCACGTGGAGCAGAAATGATCCAAAGCAATCTTATTCGCAAGCGAGAGGCCACTGTTAAATCAACGGCAATCGGCTGAAACATCATCATGGTGTTATAGATAGATACGTTTTCTATTGAGCTCCACTGTTTTTGATGAACGTGCCGAGGTTTTAATTGACGCCTGTTCCCCGCTTGCCATCACAATATCACGCAGCACACACCGTGTTCATTCGCGGGCGATCGAGAGAAAAAAATAATAAAACTCGGCGATTAGTAAACACGTTCGGACACTTGTGGCAGTCGGTCAAGAAGCGTCTTTCATTGGGCTATTGCCGGCGACTCGCATGGAGGAGAGGCGATCGCCGGGTGTCCAATCGTCGTCACACTCAACGCTCGCACGCTCACGCTTTGTGCGTGCGTGCGAGCGTGCGTGCGGGGTGATGGAGCGGTTCGCACTGCGCTGCCCTGGGCATCCTCTAGGTAGATTCAGCCTCAAATGAGTGCGTTCTGTAAACATTGCCACTAGGGCGTGGTGCTGGCTACCCACTCCGTCGTGTGCCGTTCCAGCCTTCATAGCTACTTGCTAACAGCACTTCCCCCAATAGTCTGTTAAGGCTATACGGGGGATCTTTGTATTTTCTGTACGAGTGTTGAGCAGAGCGATAGTGTGGCGGTGAGCGCTACGCTACGCTCAGAACCCGGCGGCCCGAGTATGATTTTCGCTCACGGCCAAGACTAGTGACGATTATTTGAACCGGTCTTGGGCCTCCCCTAGGTCAACTGAGCCTTAAATGAGTACCTGGTGTGGTGTGTAAACATCGCTACTAGGGAGATAAAGGCGGTCGGCCGTGGTGCTGGCCACCCACCCCCTCGTGTATCGTGCCGGCTTTCATAGGTGCACGCGAACAGCACTTGCCCCAACAGCCTGGGTAAGCCGTACGGGGGCTCTTTGTCTTTGTTATGTACCGTGTCCAGATTTGTGTCAGACAAACAATCAATGGGCTCGCGAGCATAATCTGTATGGGATAATTACTCACGATCGATGCTGCTGTGCGTTCTTACTTTTATCTAAATGTCTTCTTTGATCCTGTCCCAAATTAACGTGTAATCTATTTGTTCTAGTTTTCTGTTGTGGTTGATCACGCAACAATGTTGTAATTCTCTAATGATGCGGCATAAAAGCCCACGCTGATTCGAATCGATATCTTTGCTAAATTCAAGTGTATTTAGTTTCGTCGGCTATAATCAGCAGTTTTTTCTTCTTCTCTAATTGTCGCAGTGCCACTGCGACTAATATATTTCCGTCAAGTTTTAAAAATGTTTTAAACAAACGCTAAATGAATATGAGTGGTGTCTCTAAGAGCCTGCGATGAAGTCTGGGCTCTCAAGTGTGGCGCCTTCGTCGTCTTCAGCACAGCCACCAATTACTGCACGCAGAAAGAGAGAGACAAAACGCATTAACTTGGGGTTTGCACTTAGTGTGGCTACATTTCAGCTCTGAAAATTAATAATAATATTGGGTTGACTGTCAGGGGACGAACATTATTCGCTGTAGCAGGACGGGTGGTTAAGTGCCACCGCCGAGTGTGGATAACGGCTCACACACGAGGTGATCTCGGAAGTAGTTCTGTGATATCTCCTTCCTCGGACCGTTCTAGAGAAGATGCACAGCCTCGACGTACGTGGCGAAGGGACATCTGAACAATAATGGCAGACTTGGCTGAAAAGACAATGACGCTACGCGCTGAAAGAATTCCGCACGGATGTTTTGCTCTCACGACACACGACACTGAACGCATCAGAGGGACAGGACTGCGCAAAGCAGGGTGGATAACAAGTTCGGGTGAATTGCGCCGTTGACTCACGCCTTTGGCTCTTTGCACTTGCAGGGAGTACCTGGGAAAGCAACTCCAGAGCCAGCAGGGCTCCATTCCCACGCGGAGCTAGAACAGCGTCGCCACCGCCACCACCACCACCACCCTCACTACCACCACCACCATCGCCACCACCACCACCACCACCGTCGCCACCGCCACCACCACCACCGTCACTACCGCCACCACCACCACCGCCACCACCGCCACCACCACCACCACCAACCACCACCGTTGCCGCCACCGTGACCATCACCACCGCCACCACCACCACCGTCGCCACCGCCACCACCACCACCGTCACCACCGCCACCACCACCACCGCCACCGCCACCACCACCGCCGCCGCCGTCACCACCACCGCCACCACCACCACCGCCACCACCGCCATCGCCACCACCGCCACCACCACCGCCGTCACCACCACCGCCACCACCACCACCGCCACCGCCGCCATCGCCACCACCACCACCGCCACCACCACCAACCACCACCGTTGCCGCCACCGTGACCATCACCACCGCCACCACCACCACCGTCGCCACCGCCACCACCACCACTGTCACCACCGCCACCACCGCCACCACCACCACCGCCACCACCACCACCGTTGCTGCCACCGCCAGCACTGCAGCTCCGCACGAGACTTCGGGCTGTCCTCCTTCAAAACTGCTGCCCTGCTGGCGGCGGTTCGAGTACCTGCTCTGACTCGTGGAGTGAAATATCGAGATTGAAGATCGTTGCCTGTGTAAATGTATTTGTCGGTTTCCCTGTCGATTTTTCTTTCTTTCAACCTCTTTAATGGTCATCATCTTAGAAGCCACGAGTTTTATTGTCGAATAGGACTCTGTACCTGTTCTCTTAGTCACATTCACTATCGATAGACTTACAGATCCGTTTGACTCACGTATACACTTACATGACCCATATATATTTACACAGAGAGCCATAGATTTATATAGAGATCCATTACTTACACGAGGTCCCACAGTCAGACATCTACATGGACAACGTAGAGACCTATGGAATTACTTCTTCAAAGCTAGAAGCTCCATTATTGCATCATGGGCTTGGATGCTCGGATTTTCTTTCTTCAGCTGCTGCTATTCTGTGCCCCATCTCGAGTCACGTGCGCCACCCTCATACCTCATCCCACCTTGTCCTCCCATCTTATCCTCGGTCTCCCACTATTCCCTCTGCTTCGCACCAGCATCTCATATCCCTTCGAGTCTGCGGGTCTCTGTGACGAGTTACTTTCCGTGCGGATGTCTTCACGTTCACGTTCCTCAATCGGTGCAGGATATAACCTCCGCCTGCGGAAGCTCGGTCGGAAATAAAGACGTGTGATTATTGTCAACGGTTTGCGATGATCAGTTTTTAATAATTTGCGGGAAGACGACGAAAACAACAACAACAACAGAGCGTGAGCAATGAGGCTGTGCAAAGCAGCGGGCAACACGTAGGGACAATAAACAGGGAAGCAAGAAAACAAAAATGATTGACAGCTTGCAAACGCGTACGGAGCGGGGGTAAGAATATGGACACACGAGAGAGAGAGAGACAGGGCAACTTGGCGCTTGACCCGAGGGCTAACGAGATGCAAATGAGTCCCAGTGGAGAGGACGAGGGTACCAGGGTCATCGATGCACGGACCCCACAAGACCCATGTGGGATTGCAACTTTTCTCCACTGCAACAACCGAGCCATGCCGAGCCATCCCCGGTGGTCGCGGCGCAGCAGGTGCCAGGTTGGTTTTCCACTGCGGAAGCCGTGCCGTGCCGCCGACGGCACACGCGGTGAACGAGTCGAGGCGCGTGTGGGAGACGCAGCGACGCAGCCTTGTCGACCGACGTCGCGCTTGCTTCCGGCTTCACGTCTCAAACATCTGTTATGCAATTTTTTTTTTTAACTCAACTGTTTTTTTTTTTTTTACCAGGTAAAGCCCACTGAACTATGTTGCTCTGCTTCAGAAGCCGCCTGGTCACAAATGATAGCTCAACGAAGTGGCTCATCGTGTGGACATTTATAGCAGCCAAACACTCTAAACGCGCGATGTTGATTCTAAATGTGGAGTCGAAAACCAGGGGACCCGGAGAAAAATCCACGCGACCACGGGGAGAACACGTACACTCCAAATACAGGGTGTTTTAAAAAGATGAACCCAATTTCAAAGCAGTATATTTCACAAATCGGTTCCATCTTTTTCAAACACACTGTATATAGGCGTCAGTATCGCACTCACAACCTCCTGCATGCTAGGCGAGTTAGTTCATAATCAAAATATGTATTTATGCCGGAGGAATCCGATGAGCTGTAAAGTTCACATCTCACCACTGCTGGGGTTATCCATCCAAGCACAAACCATCCTTGAACCTGCTAAGCTTCCGAAATATGACCAGATGTAGTTAATTCAGTCTGAATCTATTGCAGGTAAACTTGAGATCAGTCTCTGCAGCAGATTTTTTGCAGTGGACTGTGAACGATGCAGTATCATGTACTAAACTAAAATATATCGATAGCAATCGAGCACAGCGCTAATAGTAGAAACAAATTCGGGTTGATGGATCTAAAAGCCCTCTTTTTATCGTGCCTACCAAATTAAAAATGTTTTTTTTAATCGAAAATCCGTCAAGGCGCACAAGTCTTGTTATTGAAAGATTACATCTGGGTGAAAACAATAAGTGTGACTTAATTTAAACCCAACGCGAGCGGGCGAGGCATCAAAGCGACGATCGACAGGTAGGATCAATGGAATATGACCTTTCCTCCATTCCAGGAGGATTCGCCTCTCCCCGTTCGCCCCGAGGCATTTCTCCGCTGTCGCGTTTCGTTCACCGCGCCTCGCCCGTGCCGCCACCACCAAGCTGGCGAGGGAGGGAGGGATGGGAGGGGAGGGAGGGAGGGGAGGGAGGGAGGGAGGTCAGCGTGCGTCGAAATGACGGCACGCGCGTACGTCGTTTTCCCTGCCAGTGTTTGTCAGTCATAATATTTTTTTCTTTCGTGGCTAGGCCACGTAAGTGATGATCTGACCAAATTTGTGTTCGTCAAGCCGCGGCGGTTGACACGATTTGTTTCTGATTTCCTGTGTTGATTTTATTTTGACTTTCTACTTCTTGTCCTGAACATGTTTGACTTAGTTTCAAGAGTTATAATGCTACACTTTGTTGTATCTATTTTTCTTCCGTATGGCAAGCTGGAAATTGCAAAATGCTCTACGTGTATCAATTTTATCGCGAGAATCGCTCTTCAACAATCATAATTGGCGTGCTAAATACTTGGTCACGTGATAAATACATTGGATAATTAGGTCATTACATGTCCTAACCCAAACATCTATTGTGATCTGTCATTCTCGCTGTTGGTGTAATGCTTCTTCTCCATTGGCTCCTTAACTGTGCCACTTGAACTCTTAAACCGTAGCCTCTACCACTGCCACCACCGCCACTACCACCAGCTAAATCCCAAAATGAATGTGTGACCTCAAATGACACTCTTGATTCGTTCCTCATTGACGGAGGCGCTGGGTTATCTGCTGCTGCTGCTGCTGCTGCCCACGTGCCGTTTAGACCGAGGGCTCATCACAGCCTGAATCATTGCGTGGGCAAGTTGATGCGTCTGCGATGTTGTTTTTCAAATAGCCTACGAAGGGAATTCCAGTTGAAACTGAACTTTTGAGATTCCAGAAAATGTGAAAATGAAGTGAGGTCCTGTGAATGAAATTTTCGTCTGTTTGTTCAGTCTTCATTTATGCGAGCAAACACGCCAAGAGAGGTGCACGCTATGGAAATTATACTGGGAGGCAGAATATAAGAACGAGTGGATCAAAGAATGATTGCGAGTTAGAGTCACCACATTGACTATGAAGAATGCTAAACTGCGAAGCTTGGGCAAGGACACATCGTTGCCAGAAGGGATGTCGGCTGGCTCCTCGCGACTGACGTTGGCAAGGTAGCCAACGTCGTCTCAAGGACAATTCAGATAAGAAACGTGAATTTCGAGTGGCGAAATAGAAGCCGTTTTATTTTTTACCCCAAAATATCAACAAACACTTCACAGAGACCAGACAGGAGTGCAGAGATTGTTGAGATATGCCCACACTTTTTGAAAAACCCACGAGAGGTATCAAGCAATGCGCTGCTCGCGCGAGACACAAAGCAAAGCGAGCAAGAGCTAAAATTAGAATAAATTAATCACGACGTTTCGGGCGCAACACAAGCGTCCAGAAACGTCGTTATTTAATTTATTTACATTTTTTACCTACGTGACTTTACCGAAAAAACCAAAGAGTATGAATCCTTGCAGTCACGAAAACTTCAAATCTAGAACTGACTTAGGACGTTGTGCATTGAAAGGGGGCACCAAATGTAATGTCTGCCCCAAGGGCGAACGCCACCACTCTGGCTGTAGCTGCATGTCGCAGCGCTGCTACGACCGGCAGGTCAATCCGACGTCAACGACCACAGCAGGAAGTCTTCACGACCGTTCAACTGCTCATGGTCAGCAGTTGTCCTGAATAAATACCATCGATCCAATCGCCGGAGGAGACCAATTTCCGCACACTTACGCGTATCGAAATTGAAAAATAAAATTACTTCAGTCGGTTGCGACAATTGAAACGTCACTCAGCTGTCTGTGCAACGGTCACAGCGACTGATGCACGGCTCCCGGCGTATTCTTCATCTTTATTTCCTCTGGCATGCAGCAGTGAAAAATGAGTACCTACGAAAAAAGTATTCAACTCTGTCGGGGGTGAAGGTACTGGGCGTCTGATGGGGTCTTAAACAGCGACAGCCTTGACCACTAGTCGTCGGCGCTTGCCAAAAAGTCCATCTCGTCGGTGAAATGGCAAAGAGGTATTTTTTTACTTTTTCCATTAAGAAAGTACAATTTTTTTTTCTTCGTACATTTCCAAATGCGTATACGAATAACTACATGGTGGGGAAGGTCAATTTGACAACATTTGACCAAGTTTTTGATGGAAAAAAAGCCCAACATGAGATGTGAGTAATTGGATTTGATGTAGTGCAACGCTGGTCTGACATTGGCGGCGAGTAATATTTTAGAAAACAAAATTATAGAGAGAGCGAGAGAGAGCTACGCTTGAATAAACTCACGCAATAGCGAGATGCGGAGCGACCGAGGGGGGGGGTCGTAGATTGGTGCGAAGGTTATTTTGAACTAAAATCGACAGCAGCTTTGACTTGCCTCTTTTCGTTCAAAGTGGCATCCACGCAAATGTAGCCAGCGCCAACTCTAACCCCCCCCCCCCCCCCCCC